AAGACACAACAACAAGACTAAATAGAATCAAAATTCAAATCTAAAATAATCGCTCGTTCAACCTTTTTCTTAATTGTGCGCAATTATGCAAATTCCGAATAAAAAAATTAGGAGTAAGTTATAGATAGTCGTGCGTGTCTAACAACGTTTACCACTTTTCCGCATTGCTGTTGCTGATCAATAACAATGATTCAATATCTTGTATTTCAAGTGGCGCAGACAGCATGGTTTCTATTTCAAATGGTTGAAGATGAGCATCGAGTTGAGTCATAAATTATGCGATGGCAAGAACAGCAGGAAGTGCATTGCATGATGCGATAGGCAAACAACCTTGGCAGTGCAACAAAAGTGGTCGTTAACATTGATTTACATTAATTATTTAATAATAATTATTTAATAATGGATATGCGATAAGAGAGTAGAACAGCTAATTATTACGAACTTAAGGGGATGTACCGCAATTGGCTTGTGAAAACCAGTTCGCAAACACTTTTTGCCAATTTAGTTTGTGCAGTTAAAGTTGCGCAAGCCAAATAAATAAATTGCTTTTAGACGTGAGAGTTGTTTAAAAATAACTTCTGTACACAAACCAGTTTGCGCAAACTCATTACAGTTAAGTTTACAATAAATTACAACCTGAAACTTTTCATCACTCTAACCACACTAAAATATTCAAACAACTAGACAAAATTGCATTGCTTAAACTTTTCCGTGTCATCTTCTACAGTGGGAAATTCCATTAGCATTCATAGTACCTACTTTGTAGATGTTTGCCATTTTTATGCAACAACTGTGTTTATTTGTAGCTATTGAGTCTCACAGCTTGAAAAAACAGTTGTAGACTAATATATATACTTAAATAGAATATGCATACACATTAGTGCAAGTGCACTAATATTCAAGTGTCGAACAATTTCGACGTACTATATTTCAACTGAATATCGAATTATTGATTCTTTCTAAATTTATTTGAATTATCTTCTTGATCCATCTCACCATAATAATAGCCAATATACGCATAAATTATTCACACATCACCTATTGGAATTGCCTTAATTGACAATCGATGGACAGTTTGAAGATGCAATCAATTTTAGACAAACTCTTGCCATAATACCCATTTTCGCGATACACATTTAATATGAACTAAAAATTTAAAACCCTATTAATGAGTTCAGCAGATAAGCAAGTGAATAATTTCCCAAAGTCAAGGTTTCTGATTTTCGTTTGCAATTTACATCGATTTTCTCGATAATCCAAATTATTCATTAGAAGTACCAAATATTAAAAAAAAAAAAAAAAAAGTTGTTAATACCAATTAGAGAATTTTTCAACCAAAATTCTGCGAATACACAAAACGGATAATTCGTAAGTGGTTTGCAAATACTGCACAGCAAATGCGCTTTTGAACGAAAACATAAATAAAATGATTTCAAAAAACACATAAAATAAGTAAATGGACCATTTCCTGCTTACAGACTCCAAGGTAATGCTTAATGGAAAGAAATCTAGCGACAATTGTACTACAAAACTGATATCGAAAAGTTGAGAGATCCTTATAATCACGTATCAGTTTCAAGGACTACAATCTCTTATAAAATATCGATTTTTGCTAAGGAAATTTGGTTTTCCTTAAACCATACGAACTTGTCAGCTTGCATGGTATATAAAAATATATAGTATCACTTACTTGAATCCTCTACCACGAAGCGTTTGGTATGCATGGCCTTCATATACGGATCCATTTGCTCCTTATTTATGGATATGCTGGAATCCATGTGATGTGTCATTAAAATTTCGAAATCTCAATCGAAAATAATTAAAAAAGTAGGTTAACAACTCCTTAGTTCGAGCTGAGCACTTGTATCTTCTCCGTCAGGCGAGAGTTAACGAACTGTAATAAAAGAAGCGTATGCAGGTATATTTAGTAGAATTTCAGGCTGCGTGTGTTAGCAATTTGGTGATATTTAAACGAAGAAAGAGTTTCAATATTAAGTCTAAAAAAAGTTAATTATCAGTTCCAATTTTTGCTACAAAAAAATGTTTATGCACACATTAGTTATGGCAACAATATTTGTTTTTTATAAAATTGAGCAATTAATTTTTTTCATTGTTATATGTCAAATAAATCAACATAGTGAAATTGTCGAAAGTAATTTGAAACTGATGATGGTAATTTGAGCTCGTATGGAGTTGAATTGACAAAAAAAAATGGAAAGTAATCAAATGCTCAGTTTTTATTCGAATGAAAGTGTTCCGCTTCTCTGAGCTGAGCTGAGTTTTTCGCATGTAAATGATTGGTGGCACTTTTCTTTTTTGTTAAAAAGTAACATCTATCTATATATCATTGCAAAACTGTAAATTAAATATGCTTGACACAAATAACAGTAATAATAAAGGGCTATTAGCCAGAGGAAATTAAAAAAGTAAATTAAATAAAAATAAATAAATGTTAGAAAATATGTTTAAAGAGTCTAAATTAAATTTGCAGTTGTACTGATAATTTATTGAATAATAATCGAAGATTTCCTCCAAAATTATGTGTTTTAATATATAGAAACAGAATATATCAAATTATATTGTAGGGATATTGGGAGGGATGGTCCTAGATTGTAAATATGGGCACAGCCCAAGCCAATTTTTATACTATCAAGCTTGTATTAAAAAATATTGGTTTGAAACAGACTTGCATATATCAAAGTATAACAATACTATAAATTGAAATGTGTCACTTCTCAGAAATAACTGTAAACTTAGAGCGCGCTAGATGTCGCCAAAGTAGCACTGTTATCAAAAATCATATTTGTATTTCAATGTTGTGCTTATTAAAGCTTTGGCCAATTAAATTTTTAATTTTCTTCGACCAAGCAATGAACTGAGTTTCAAATGGCATACTTTCTGAACCACATACATACATTTGTATATATGTATAACAGACCACTTTCGTCGGTTTTAAAATAAAAAGACGGAATGTTTTAATTAACTGCAGTAATTCATTAAGGAATATTATATGACAACGAAAAGGGCAATTAAAGCCAAAGCAATAAATTTCTAGCCGTGTGACATACCTACATATACATATGTAGAGAGCGCAGGAAATATATTTTCATAAATCTCTGTTATCTGCAATATAATTTAGCATGTCTAAGTGACGTGACATTTCTGAGTTATTTTATTATGAGAAACTAGACTGTGCTATTTCCGATTCCGCTTCTTCTTCGCATTTAGAGTGCTTGGACAACTCCACAAGTAATCATAAATGAAGAAATAATCACAACTTTTTTGATAAAGCAATACAGATTAGCTGGCAATACTGTGCTATTTTTATTTACATTCTATGATAAAATATTGTTGACCAATAATATGAAAAGATAACAAATTAAATGGAACTAGATTTGTAAATATCATTACTCATAGCTTCGAGGCTCACAAATCAATAGAGACCCTGAGTGTTGGTAGATGAGTATAATGTTAATTATAAGGTACAAGAAAGAGGTATTTTCAATATTAAATGACCCGAATTACTGGAAAAGAAGCGAAAATATACGAAGTTAGTTTCGGTTTCCACAGAAAATATCTCATAAGAATCGGTTGAAATATTTAATTTTTTTTAGAAAAATATAAGCTATATTATTAAACTCTTTTTTTGTTTCAAACGACAATTTATTAATTACTCTTATCACAAATACGACGGAAATCCAAGCATCTTTGAAGAAATTTTATAAAATGTTTAAACTTCAGTTCTCCCCTTAACACAAATTCGAAAGGAGAGCTTTAAATTGAACAAAAAATTACATTTTGCTATCGAAATTTATAATTCGCAGCCAGACAGAAAAAACGTCAAAAAATAAAACAAACAAATATTATGAAATATATGTAAATAAGTCGGTTATGGAGAAAAGCTGTATTTACATATTTATGAATTCAAAACTAGCTTATTTTTGATGAAAATATAAGTCTACAGTGTCTTGTAATTAAATAATGAATATTATTTTTTCTTTATTTAATTTTAAAAATAATGTATTTTCTTATAAATAAGTATTTATTATTCTTTTGAATTTCAATTGAGTTTTAAAGTTTTTGTAACAAAACTAGGAACTTTAAAATTTTTTTAGCAATTTCGTAATAAATTAATTTCTACAAAAAAAATTTTTTTCTTAATATTTTTATTAAAAACTTTTTTATAACTGATTATCCTTGAAATATTTTTGCCCTTTCTTAGTCTAAATTGTGCTCAACTGTATTTCGCATAAGATTTATATCCTGATCCTGCTAATTTTATTATTAACAAAAAAACTAAGTCGAATTAACAGAAAAATAACTCAAATAAATTAATTAACTTAACCAGGTTCAAATTCAAAAAAAAAATTTCAATTTAAAGTTCAAACAAAAGGATAACACACTTTAATTTTCTATTTTCTATTTATTTCAATACAATTTTTCATTAAAAAAATAATGTTTCATTTATATATTTATTTATTGCTGTCTATTTACACCTCTTTGTTAACAAAAAATATATTTAATATGCTCGAATGCATTTCCGAATGTAACCGACAAAATATGTCTCACTTATTTTCACTATTTCTAACAATAAAAAAATTTTAACAGAATTAATTTTAATGATGTTAATTTTTTTCAATTTTTTATTTTTATAAATAATTTTGTTTTTGGAAATAATTTTTATGTACTTGTTTATAATTAATTTAAAATTTTTTCAAATTTTTCCGACACTTAAAATTTTTATTTTATTGGTGCACAAGTGAATTATTAATTTGCTTAATTTTTTTACTCACACTTTTAGTATTAAGTTTGTTCAGTTTCAAATTCACTTTCCGTTTTCATTAAAATATATTGTTTTGCCTTGACCAAGTGAATATTTCACTATTTCATATTAACTTAATTTCGAATTATTGCAATGCGTTAGAATATTCTTGAAACTGGTAGCTGACAACACAACCGTAACCGTTGACTTACTGTGTTTAACTAAATTTGCGCGCCACTTTAAAAAGTAGGTAAGCTAACTTCGATTTCAAACACAATCAAATTGAAAATTGGTGCACTGCGAGACAAGTCTTGCGTTTTATTTCATTACTCATTAACCAGTTTTCGGTTCGGAAACTTTCGCACGGCAATACCCACGAGCGTGCAACGATCTCTAACATTTGCTATATGCGACTGTGTGTGTGTTCGTTTCGATTAAGTAAGTCACTTATTTTTCCAAATATCCAAAATGCTTTCACTCGTGTGCGCTTCGGAATTCCTTATCAGATCTGCATAGTCGCGTTCTCAACCGTTCAAGTCAATTTCTGAGTGATGATATCGTACTGCTAACGCGTTCGTTAGAACCGCCGCTTATATTTCGCACACAACCAGTCAACCAATTAGCGGCACTACCCCCACATTTGCAGTAAGCTGGCGCTCGGACTTTGAGTACCAAGCAGCAAATAGTGGCGCATGGTTTGCTCAATGGACAAGTGTTTGCTCGCATGCAAAAAACCTGTGTGTGGGCGTTCGTGTTTGAGTGTGTGTGTCAGCGCTGTTGTTATGTCATTTAAGTCTGCGTTTATCAAAGAATTTCCCTGCGACTCGCGTCAGGTCAACGACACATCTTAAGCGATAGCCGCTTCACAATATGTGCACCCTCGTTGTTGTGCGTCTCATCCGTAGCTTGTGCTCATATAGCGCATGTCGCAGCGTTTTTACTTAATTTTCATTTTGCGGCAATTCAGTCAATCTATTTAATGAATTGAAATTGCGAAACCTGCACAATCAACAGTCGCATCAATCAAGCCATCCATTATTTGCTTTCATTGAATTGCTCAATAAGTTTGAAAGTTGTGTAATAAAGACATCAAGTTGCCAACTTAATTAGGGGTCCCGGTATACCGTGAGCTACACAATGTGGCTTCAACTTGTATACCGGTGTTCGCATTAAGTTCTTAACAAAAGAAAAAACTTTACTTCGGCTGCACGAAGCTAGAATACCCTTCCAATGCAAATAAATTACCTATAAAAAAAACTTTTGGTCGGTCAGTTTGTAGTGTATAAACACAAGCTTTATAGTGAATCTTGAAACTGAAAATTTCTTCGGAGAGTGCATTCATACCATTACAATCTTTTCTTTCAATTTTACTTGACACAAGTCACCTTCATTCCACCGTTCAGTTGTATGAAGCTACATCTGTCGTGGTCGATTCGGCGGTTACTTCATTAAAGATATATATAGATAAACTCTTGATCTATTAAATCGAAAGAAGGATGGAACTTTTCAAGTATATGCAATGAGATAAACAAAAAAAATGCGTAGTCACTTCCAATTAAAAGCTATATAAAAGAAGATGTTGGCGTATTAATTCTTGCTTCGGAAATATAATATTTTTATAATCAATAAAGTTTTTTTTAATCATTCTGTTAGTTTTTCCACTTAATTTGTTGGAGTTCCAAAACTTTGTATTTTTCCTACCCGAATAAACTGTTACTTAGCGATATAAATTAAAATAAATGAAATATAAGCGCGGTCTTCATTTGCCGCTCCTACTATATCATGTTTTGAGCTTTTGGTTCTTTGTTTTTCTGTAAGTTTAAATAGAAAAAGCAATAATAAATTATCGAATTGAGTTTAATACAGAGAGTAATGAAACATAATTAAAGTGGTATAACTGCTATTATGTTACTCTACATAATTAACCAGTTGATTTGCGATGCATTATTCTTGGCAAATCGAATAGCTTTAAAGATAAAGTTCGACAATTTTGCTTCCACTGTTTGCTTACATATATAATATTGAAGTT